CGCGGGAATCGTTAGCGCCTTTTGCTGCTTCCGGTCGCGTCCACCGCGACAGCTTGATGAGCACGAGCTTGTTCATTTGGTAGCCTCGCGCATGAAAATCATGTAAATCGCATGTATTACTCTTTTCGAAAAGGTTTGGCTACAAGCTACGAACCTAATACTCACGGCCATCTCCATCGTCTTGGGGTTGAACGACTGGTACGGCTGGACGCGCGTGGCATTGCGAGCGTCGACAACTGCGATCTGCGCAGTGACTGCGGCCGTAAACGCTTGGCAGACGGCCTTGCCAGCGTCGTCGAGCATGATGTGCGAAAAGTCTTCCGTGATTGCGGGCTGCGCAAAGCCCGTCGCCGTCATGATGAGCGCGAGACGGACACCCGTGCCGGGTCGACCCGCGAGCTCGCCTTCGACCCACGCCGAGGGACAAAAAGCCGGGTCCGAGACGTACTCGGCGATCGTGCCGAGGTGGTTGTGCATCGACGAGACAAGGAAAATGAAGTGGGCGACAAAGTCCTTGAGGTTCTCCAGGGTGAGCGTCCGCATTGGCACCGGCAGCTTCGTGCTCAAGAACGTCCAAACGCATGGACATCCGTGTCATTCTGAAGCGCGTCCTCGCTCTTGAAGTAGAGGTCGACGTAGTTGCTGACGAACGATCGGCAGATCTGCCAGTAGTCCATACCGTCCTCGTGGAACGGCAGCGTCGTCGTGTCAATGTTCTGACGCGCCTTGTGCTCCGGGAATGTCTCGTACTTGAAGTTGGCAAGACCGAAATCCCACGTCTGTTTCATGCCCTTGTCCGTGAGCGCGTAGGCACGCTGAAGCATGCCCTTGGGCCAAAAGAGCGCCCGACCCGCGCCGTAGTTAATGGCCACGGAGCGGAACGTGAATGGCTTGATCAACCGGCGGAGCGGGTGCGTTGGCGGCAGTTTCTCGCGGTTGGCGATGACCATGATGTTGGCCACCGTCGCGTGGATACCAAGAAGATGGTCGACGGCCGTGACCTTGGTCTGGAGACTGCCACGGAAGCAGAGCTTAGCGTACTCCCACCCCGCGTCGCCTGGGCGACTAGTGATGTCGCCGCGGACGATCTTGGTGACATTGCCCTTGGCAGTAAAGTACACGTCCGCGCCATACTTGGCGTACCCAGGGCGAACCTCGAGGCCCTTCACAAAACCGAGACAAATACCGTAGTACGAGCCGTCGTCGTGTGCTTCCGGAAGCTTCATGAGGAGATGCTGGCCAAAGCCGTTGAAAGCCAAGAGCTCGAGCGCGCGGTCTGAGTACCGGTCGTTCCAGTGGACGTTGACGCGGGGCCACATGTGGCCGACCTTGCTCATGACGTAGCGCTCCATATCCTCGCCAGGCAGCCACGTGAGCTCAAAGTTGTCGACAAACGGCGCGTAGTCACGGAGGAAGTTGGACTGCTGGATCTCGATCCACGGCTGGCTCGGCCAGTCCTCGTCCTCCGTCGCGATCTCAATGTGGGTCTGGATCAAGGTGATTTTGGGCAGCGTCTTCTGGTGCTGTGGGATGCTCAGGATCTGGTTGGCGTACGGGCGATCCCAGAGTGCCTGTTTTTTCCGATGAGTTTGATCATGAGACGCGTCCAGAGATCGAGTCGTGCATCGTCGTAGAGGTCCGTGGCCGTGCCGACAAGCTCTTTGGACTCGGGGAGGTTGAGAAACTTCCAGTCGGCGTTGGAACCCACAGTCCCAATGATCTCGGCGGCGTCGTCGGTGCGCCGGTGAAACCCCACCGCCATGAGTTGACCAACTGGTGTCGGTGTCGAGACACCGACCGCGAGCTTGTAGTCCTGGTTGGGCACCATTTGCCACACAAAGTCGAAGAGCGAAACGATTGTCGACTGCAGAATGAGCGTCGTGAGGTCTTCGCCAGCGCAGCGACGGTGCGACAACGCGCCAAATGCATGCGGGCAAAACGCGTGCGGCTTGGTGGTGCGGACGTGCCCGAGGTCTCGAAACCGGTTGGGATTAAAGAGGTTTGGGTCCGTCCAGACGTCTGGGTGACGGTTCGTAGCTTCAAGACCCGCCGCCGCAAGACACCCTTTTGGCAGCTTGTAAACCCCATTTTTGGTCGGTATTTCGAGGTCCGTCTTCGCGCGGCCAAAGACGGCAGTTGGTCCCGCGACGTAGAAGCGCTTGACTTCGAGAATGAACAAGTTCACGTAACCAAGGTCGTGAAAATGCGCCCAGCGCGCCTCGCCGTCGTACTTGGTGACATACTCGGCCCGCGCGTCGAGAAGGTCCTTTCGAGCGCTCGGGTGGGTTGCGACGGCGGTGAGAATGTTGGTCGCAAGGCACGCGACGCCGCCAAAGCCGGCAAATAGGAAATGGAAGGCTTCCGTCTCGAGTACGTCAGACGCCATCTTGCCATTGGTCACGAGACAGTCGATGACGCTTGGGGCAGGAGTCTTGGTGGCAGCGCGGGCCCGGGCGTCGGCGATCGCCGGCCGAATGAGCTCGTCGAGGATCTGCGTTCGGCAGCTGACGCCGTGTGGGTCAGGGCGCTTACTGGACCGGCGAATCGAAGCGATGAAATCGTCAAGAAGGACCGAAACTTGTTGGCGTCGTGCCGCTCGACGCCATACAGCACCTTGAGGAAAATGCGAAAGACCATTTCGCGGGTGAGGCACGCAAGCGAGATGGCACCGCCTCGCGCTGCCCATGATGCGTGTTCGGCCTGGACAATCTCGCGAACGAGCGGCGCATAGAGATCGAGACGTGCGGGCGTGAAAGCTTCGAGGGCTGCAGCCTTGCGCGCGTGGTGCTCCTCGCCATCGATGGTCGGCATGATGGCCCCTAGGAGCGCGACAATTCCGGGCGGGAACGCCCCTTCGCGCACGATGCTGCCGTCTCGCAGCTTGTCGTCAAAAGCCGCGAGGAGCTCGGGGCCGCAGAATCCAGCGATCTTCTCGCTCACGAGATGGCTCTCGAGGAGAAAGAGGTCCCCGTATTGGTCGCGCGACTCGAGCATGCCCGCCCGCGGGTCCTTGGAAAACTCGATCATCTTGAGGATGTTCATGGCGCGCTGGCTCGCCGGAAGGTCCGTCGCTGCGCCATCGGCATGGACCGTGCTCGCCTCGTTGCCCATTCTCACTTCGTTTCGCAAATGGTCGAAGATCGCAATAACTTCAAAGGTCACCACTTCGGGTGTTTAAACGCATTGAAGTTGCGTGCGTCAAGTCATTTTAGCGTATTCTTAGAGCTGCCGTGGGTTTAACGCAGGATCTTTTCCCATGATGCGTTAAACGGGTACGTTTTGGCCATTTCAGAAGCTTGATGGAAGTGAGTACACCCCAAATGACGTCAGCCATCAGTCCCGCGGATCGCGCTCCTGCCTCCGCCTGTCTAAATCAGGTTCCTCAACCAAGTGTATAAAACCGAAGAAAGTCCGTCAATTTTATTTAACGTATACTACTCCGTCCCATATTACTTTGCGTTTTCAACTTTGAGTGACCGTGAAAAATCGATTTTTGCGAGTTAGGATGCATTCAAACGGTTTGAATGCATCCTTTTGGCTAGTTGAGCGGGTAGTACTGGAGGTATGTCCTTGTCCAGCGGCTTGTTGTTGCTATCGCGCTCCGCACGAATGCCTTGCAGACCAACGATGAGGCGCTCCACGTACGCTACGATCTCCTTCAGCACGGCTGCCTTGTCGTCAGTGTCCAGGCCATACAGGCACTCCCGAGCGAACGAGCCCTCGTCTTCAATGAGGCTCACGAGGTGGTCGGTGGCGATGCGGTGCGTGGTCCCGAGCACGTAATCGATGTCAATGACAGCTTCGTCTTGTTCTGCGTTGGCTTCAGTTGCAGTGGTTTCGACCGCTTCGAGCCGGAACATAGCGGTGAGCGACTTGACGAGTTCTTCGACGTGGCCCTCCTGCTGAGAGATCAGGAGCAAGCGGCTCTGCAGCACAACGAAAGTCGTGTTCATCTTGTCAATTCAGATGGCTGCGGTAGTTCTCGGGCTTGAACGGTCTCTTGAAGAATTGAATGTCGGTGCGGCTCTTGCGTTTGCGCGTCGCACCAGGACAGACTTCCACCTTGTCGCGGCCCTCGTAGACACAAAACTTGCAGCGCACTGTCTGATCGCCGTCCGCGGAAGTCGCGACGAGCTCCAAACCGTACTCGAGGGCGTGTTTCGACTGGAAAGGGGTCGTTCTTGATGGCGCCATGGCCTACAAGCTCGTACGGGCACGTATGAAGCGGCAATGCGGATGAAAAAAAATCGGCTTAATTTCTGCCCGCCGGCAATTTTAATTTAGGCAAATGCAGGTCTAATTTTGGAAAATGCCTAAATTTACACGGCCTGTTCAAACCTGCCTTCGGAAGCGCTTGATTTCCTCTATCAATAGATATGGCTGGAGTATAAATTGTGGCGCTCTAAGGCATGCGTCTTGAGCGTCAAAAACGGTCACTCGATTGATTTTGAAAATCATTTACCGGGCTTGGTGTTTGTAGCAGGAATTGGACTAAATAAATTTATTTTTATTCCTCTTGTCCGGATAACATACAAACACTATATCATGTCTTCGAAAATCGAATAAAAATATATTATTACTGTGACTTTCTACCAATCACAGCCGCGTATTTTTTGAAAGCCAATCACGAACGACCTCTCCTGGAAAGGCCATGGGGCCAAAAACGCAAAGTAATATGGGACGGAGTAGTATATATCAACGTGTTTCGCGTTAAAATCCTTACGAAGAGTTCGCATACAACAGCACTTGGTCGTTGGGAGTGAGCTGCGCACGGAGAGATCCATACTTTGGTGGACTCCACTCGCCGAGTGATAGCTCGCGCGAGGTCGTACGCAGGCTCCTGTACTCAGACCACCCGACAGAGGAGTGCAAGCCGTCGGGTGTGTTTCAAACGAAACCGTCCGAGCCGGCATCCGAAACAATCCGGATACCGATCGAGCACGTAGAACCGACGCCGCGCACGGCGAGGCTGGACGACTGGTGGCGGCGGCGGAGGGCCGGGAGGCGACGGGACTTCGTGAAGGCAGGGCGACCGCGCCCGCGGGGTGAAAGCACGGGAGGGCCAGCGACGTCTCATCTCCTTGACGGCTGCTTATTTAACGTAGTTTTATCAGTTTCAATAGACGGACGACCCACTGCAACAATGACGGCGTCAGCCATCAATAGTGCTTTACTGCATTATAAAACAGTCGGAGCATTGCGCTTCATCGACGTCGTTTTGTCCACTCGCTCGTACCGGACCTGTGTATCTACGCCGTTGCATTGCCCTCCCCAACGCGCCGCCGTCGTACCGGGGAGGCACAAGCCGACTACAATTCGAGGTCGATTTGGTCTCCAAAAATCCGGATAAAGGGGCAAATACCAATCGCAAGCGGGTCATCTTTTGTCAACGTCTGGCATCAGAGGCATTATTGTCGGCCAGGACCCCTGCTATCGACAAGAACATACCAGTAGGTTGTAGGTAGACCAAGAGCGACAAGTGTGCGAAAAATCGACCAACACCACCCACTGCGGCTTGTCAGGCTCAAAATTAGGATCAAGCGCCTAGTATTAGGGTCACCACGGTTTACAGCCACAACATGGTCGTAATCAAGCGCCAAGATGACGATGGCAACACTGCATTTTGCGTTTGCCACGTCAGTTGGCATTCAACCTCAATATGAAGTGGCTACGCTCTGAAGCGATGGAGTACGTGTCGCTGATCATCCACGAAGACGCGGCCCATGATTGCATCACGATGCTTGGTGACCTCGGTGTCGTCGAGTTCACGGACCTCAACCCGGAGCTCACGCCATTTCAGCGTCGGTACGCCTCGTACATCCAGCGATGCAACGAGATGGACCGCAAGCTACGCTGCTTCATGGTCGAGATGACCAAGTTCAAGATCTCGGCCAAGAGCGCAGACAACGTCGACTCGTTCCTCGCTGGCTCACCGGATGTGTGCCACAGCAGTCAAGACACGACGGTCCGGGCTCTCAACAGCATCGAGCGCATCCTCGAGGACAAGGAACAAGAGCTCCTCCAGCTCAACTCGATGCACGAAAAGCTCACGCGCGAGTACAACGAGCGCAAGGAGCTTCAGGAGATCATATCGCGCATCGGTGGGCTGGTCGAGACTGAGCTCTCGGACGCGATGCGCGTCAGCTCGCGCATGGGTAGCAGCATCACCACTAGTGTCGACTCACCAATGGATGCGTCCGAGTCGGACTTGGCCATCCGGTTCAAGAACATCACGGGTGTCGTGCCCGCGGACGAGCGCCTCAATTTTGAGCGCATGGTGTTCCGTGCGACGCGCGGCAACTGCTTCATGCGCTTCTCGGCCATTGACGAGCTCCTCGCCGACCCGGGTACTGGCGTCGCGGTCGAAAAACACGCGTTTGTGATCTTTTTCCAGTCGCAGTTTATCGAGACGAAGCTCCGCAAGATCTGCGACGCGTTCCACGCCCGTCTGTACACGCTGCCGTCGATGGACGACCGCACCGCGATCGCCAACTTGATCCAGAC